CCCTCGACAGAAGAAAAGTTTGAATGTACTCCAATGTCCCTATCCATCCTACCCTTCGTTTTCTCATTCCCTTGCCCAGGACACCGGTGACAGAATGTTCATCGGCCTGAGCTTCACCACGCACCCAGGACGAATACCATACCAACAAAAGACCAAACCCACTTTGACACCTCAACCCTCTCTCCAGCACCGTAATACCCCCTACCGCCGCCCCAACCACCGCCACCATTCCCCCATCCCCAAGCGGCGCTGATTTCACACTCTCCGTTGAAATCAATGGTATCCGTCCTCCCGATAGGCGTGCAGAGAGACAATGATTCGGCAGCCTTTTCGCTGTTCTCGGTGCACGCGGTAACGTCGCTCCACGTCCCGTTGAGGCAGTATTGAAATCTGTCCGAGAGACAGTTGTACTGGCCCTTGGACCCCTCGCAGGATGTATCGGCTGCAATGGCGAGGTATGAGAGGTCCTCTAGGATCGTTGAATCTCTTGCTTGTTTGTCGAGAGCTTGCTCTGTGGTCGGAGATGGTGTCGCGAGGGTGCAGTCGACTAGGAGGGCTAGGAGGAAGAAGAGGAGGAGGAAGGTTGAGAAGACACTTTTGCGTCTGCATGACTGGAGGTGTGGAAACATTGCGAGAGAGAGAGAGAGAGCGCCCCGAAGAGTGTTACTGAAGTGATTTTCTATAGCCCTGAGGAGAGGAAAATTTCGCTTGGGGAAGGAAGGAGAGAATGGTTGTTCTTCAGCCCAAAGGACGGAGTGCTTGGGTGGAAAGGCTGAGACGAGCGTGTAAGTCGGCACATGAGCATATATGGTACTCAAGGAGTACTGCAGGTATATACTCTCCCCTTACCCCTCCCTCCTCTTTACAGCTGAAAGGTCTTGCCCTAGAGTTGGCCAAGAAAGAACCCGAGAAACATGGCAGACAGATCGGGGACCCATCGAGGAATGACGAAGTTGATCAACAGTCACGACTCACCTATACTACCCATGGAGCCCCTGCCGTCCTAGTAGGCTCATGGAGAGACCAAGACTGTGAACACATGCCGAACCCCCTCGCTCCCGCCATATTGTCTCAGAAACTAACTCCTCTCGCCGTAAAACTGTCGGAGCCTGCCTTCATCTGAACGGCTCCAGACCGTCGCTGCGTTGTCAGCTGTACCGGCGTAGTCATGACAAGACCGTAAGACGTGTAGACATGCCATTGGACAATCCCTAATCTAAGGTAGCTCGCTCACCGAGCGAAACTTCACATTCAAGTTTCCCGTCATTCTGATGCGCAAAAAGCTGCAAGAGAGAAAATAGCATGGATCCTACGGACCTCTAGTCATATAGATCGGCCGAGCAAGCTGTAGCTTTCTTAAGCTTACACTCTAGCTCCTCCAACGGGACCTTCCTAAAATTCTCCGGGACGTTTTCATGCATAAACGGTTCCCCATGGCACGGATTATTCGGCACAGACTTGGCTTAACTCGCACACGCCCTCTGCCCCATCTCCGACTGTAGAGGTTGCAAAGAGGTCCGCAATCCTGCAGGAACCCGGCTCAGAACATAGAAGAGCAGATGGGACTTGGCCAACCGTCTCCAATTCTCTTGAACGTGCAATGCCGAATGTGTCACTCTTTTCCTTTTGGGTGTGAAGCTAAGTAAAAGCAGAGTATGAACGAATCCCAGAAAACTCGTGAACCGGTTCGTGATGTCCAACGTGTTCTCGCGTTGGTCGATGTTGCTAGTCACCTAGCGCCAACGCTACCCTTTCCTCCGCGCACCAATGAGGAGGCTGATGCCTACAGTTTCCGGAAGGCTAGCCAGCGGATAATTGTCTAATTATTTTGTAAGACTGTTGAAGAGGAAAATCCTTTTGGCATTGCTTTTCTGGCAATCGTCCTATGCTGAGCTGCGGCTTCGCTTGCACCCCTATCTAACCCGACTTTTCCCGTGTTCTTTTGGAAATAAGAGAAGCTGACTGCATACAGTCAAGTAACGATTGAAGAATAAACAAGAAGGATTTTCTCATTCCAAACAGGCTTTCAAAAGCCGAGATTGAGATGATAGTAGCCTCCTGGACGGTGACGCAGATCTCCCAGCTTGGGTCAATCATCTCACAATATACATGTCGCCCTCAGCTTCTGCGTCCAGGGGGGCATGTGTGATCATCAACGACTGGATTAAGCAACTGTCGAGACTCTAGTCTGCGTTACAGACAACATCTAGGGGCACGACGTTCTGTTTCGAGCATACGGGAGAACGATTGATCATATGTGACGGTTGGTTGAGTATATACAAGTTCTATCTTATTAGACATTAGGAAACCCATTGATGACAGCGCGTTCCAGCTCTTGGTCTGTGCTGCTGTGAGCTCTCTTCCCACAGTCCGAGATGGCCCTTGGCCCTGAATGATGCGTCGTTTCTCAGGTCTCGTTCGCACGTGTTACCCATGCTTTAAGTTCAAACAACCTCCCATGTTCTAGCAGAACTAATTACGCCATGCTGAGGATATGCAAAACACGTGAAAGTACATCAGACATAAATCGTCTTTTCCGTAATAGCAAAAGGAAATATGACCCCCCCTTCATCGGCGGTAGCGAGGAGTCGCGCTGGCAGTACCGTTCCACTCGGGGTACTTGGTGGTAGACCAATCACCATCGTCAAAGCTCGTGGTAGACTCCGGAACCGAGGAAGATGTTGTCACACTGATGATGCTGGTGATAAAGGTTGAGGGTTGAGGGAAAGAGCTGGGCGTCTGTACCCATGAGGTCTGATAAGTGGTCTCATAGACTTGGGTAGGAGTCGGCGGCGTGTAAGCCTCTGTGACGCTTGTGCTAGTAGAGGTAGAAGTTGTAGTCGTCGAGGTTGATGATGATGATGATGATGATGTTACGTTAGGTGGAAGAGCAGATGATGGTTCCACAGGGGGAGCGATATAAGAAGTCGGCGCAACCGGGGTCTCTGTAGGCGAGGGAGGCTGAACGATGACTACAGACGATTCAACTGGTGTTGAAACCGGTTCACTTGGAGCAGCCCATGTTACTGATGACTGAGGGGGAACCGCATTGGTCTCTGAAGAACTGGAAGCTGCGGCTGCTGAGGATGATGCTGGGGGTGCCGCAATAGATGTCCAAGTCGATGGAGGCCCAGCTGCTCCCGTGGAGACACTGGCGGACGGCAACGGCGACGGCGATGGGAACGCACTGGGAGTACCCTGGGTTTCCGTCGAAGGAAGAGGCACAACACTGGCGGTAGATGAGCCAACAGGTGCTGATGATGGTGCCACTGGTGTTTCTGTAGAGGGCGGCAGCTCGAGAGCAGATGTCGATGGCGACGAAGGAACTGGCGAGGATGGGCTAGGCGACGCCAATGTCTCGCTTGATGGGGGAGGCACCACGACAGGGGCGCTCGAGGACGGGGTGGATGAAGGAAGTGCAATGCTCGAAGAGATGCCAGGCGTACTTGTTGAAGAAGGAGCTGGCTGAATAGACTCGGAGACTTGAGTTGACGGTGCAGCTGAGGAGGGTGCTGGCTCAACAGAACTTGGCGGAGGAGCAACCGGTGGCGTTGTTGGTGCCGTCGTGGGAGTGACTGTCAAAGGTGTTGACTCAGGGGTAGGCTTTACGCTTGGGTAGACAGTGACGGTTGCGGGGCCGCTGTCCGTGGTGCCATCGACATTCACGATGATGAGGGATGTAGTAGATGTTGTCTGTACTGCAGACGAGATCTGGGTGATGGTATCGGTGACTCTCTGCGTCACCGTTGTTTGAACCGGCGATCTTGTGATGGTGACGACTGGCGGGTCGGCGCTGGGACTTCCCTCAACATTGACCACTGAGTAGGTCTTTGTCGGCTTTGTGCCACGAAGATGGAGGAGACGATCGATGAGGGGGATCGCGTTTGCTGCTGTGGAGACGGATAGCAGCAGCGGGAGGGGAGCAGAGGGCCGCATCTCGACAATGGACCACCAGCTGCTGGCGGTGTGATGTGTTTGAGAGATAAAGAAAGAGCTCGTCTCAAGTCAAGTCTGGTGCCTCAAGTTGACAGGCCTGGTCGACGCTGTGCTTCTTGCTGTTGCTGCAGGATGAAGGACGGGCACTGACAGGACGGTGGATATCGATGTCAATCGAATACGAATAGTTGCAAAAGCGACTGTAGGGTATACGAGGAAAAACTGGAGAAGCAAAAGGAAAAGCAAACAGAAGGATGTGCGGGAGCCATGATGGTTTTACTTCGCTGCACTCGCAAACGCGGATGGCTGGGTGAGGGAAGCTCGGAAAAGCTCGTGATGGGAAATGTTGGTGGTTGGGAGGTTGAAATGGCTCCATTTTGGTGGTGGTAGTGCAGCTTCCAAGGCGGTTTGACAGTTGATCCAGGGGTTACTTACAAGGGACTTGACTGCATGGGGGGATTTGGATGGAGGGGTTAGGTACCTTTGGCTGGTTGGCCAGGGACGCAGCGACTCAAGGGCACCAATGGCGGGGGAGCAACAGGCCTAAAAGTAACTGGAGGTGGGCAGAAACCAGGCACGCGTGGCACGCCAGGTACGGGCTGGGCTGAACGGCTCGCTTAGCTTGCCGAGGTGGATCCGTTGTGGCCAATGGGAGATTGTAAAAGACGGCTGCCCAGCCACCCGCGTTCCTGTTGCTGTTGCAACTCAGCTGGCGGAGACTTTAACACTGCTGCATCTAGACCTCGCAGGAAGCTACCATCGATTGATGAAAAAGGGGAGAGATGCTAGCGAAACTTCAAAGGCAAACAGCTGCTAGTGACGGGACTGTCATTCGGATCGCAGGCTGGGGATACACTTTGTCGAACCACATCCTGGCATGCGCCTGTTCAGTGTTGGCTGGGTTTTCGAGGTGCGAGGTATCTTAGTATTGTTATGTAATTCAGTGTCACTAGCCACCATGGAGAAGCCACCAGCCACGAATGGCATGAGCCACATAGAGCCGGAAAGGCCGAGATCTGTCAGCAAGTGGCGGTGCAGCCGGAACTATAGCTCGCCGGTGGCTCGTGCATCGGAGCCTTGGCCTGTGGCTTGCCCCTGCATCCTCCTCTTCCTCCACCAGACGAACCCTTCCCCTTGACTCTCCGCTCCGCTCCCATCTCTGCACCACAGGCGCTTCTGTCTGCCCGGTCCACTTCCTAAGCTTCTTCACAATAAACAGTCGCCAAAGTCGTGCAAGGGCAAGGGAGCTCTGGCCCCCAGCGTGCATGTCATCTTGTAGGGCAGCAGGGTCGCCGTCGATCACACCTTGCGCGTTTGTTTGCTCTATCATTACTCTTCAGCTTCGGATATCCGTACTAACTAATTCAAGGTCTACAGCATCTAGAACAATCGCTTTCTACCTCGACTCAATGCCTCATTCATCATGAATTGAACAGCGAACATACCCCCCCGCATCGGGCTGCAGCAATGGTGCACAGGAACGCGGGACATTTGGCAGTGCTACCTCGATTACGCATCTCTGTGGCGCTGACAGCAGCTCAACAGGGTTGGCGCCTTGGAGGATGGAAACATTTGGACCTTCTGGTCGCTTTCTGTGGACCCCATCGCACTGCCCGCGCCGCCCAGAAGTCGTGTTTACTCTTCCAGGTGGATGACGTTGAGTTTCTTTGCTGGGCGCGTGCCTACTAAGCCACCACACCAGTCTGGGCAGACCGTCTCGCAGCCCAAGGACTTTGGCTTTTCTGCTCCTGACTGCTGGGAGAAGCTCCGCGTACGGATCGATTCGTCGGGTTCGATCTTCCACCTTAGCTCAAGCTCTTACCACCAACAGAAAGCAGGTGACGGCCGGAAAGGATCACCTCCAGCTTCCCCCTCTCAGCACCGGCACAGGGCCCAAACACGCAATTCTTGCCTCAGCAAAAGACTCACAGCCACACACCGGTCTCGTCGCCGTCACCTCGCTTGCCTCTTGAGACCCCGTCTTGTCCGTCCGCCACATGTAAGCTTTAAAATAAGCTACGCCGCCCAGTCCCATCTGCGATTCTCTCATCCGACTTTCCGTCTTCTTGCATCTTGTCACCTTGTGCTGCCCCGCAGTCTTTTACAACACCTACTCCGTACGAATACGCAGTTCACATTTACCTAACATCCAGTACCCCGCCCCCTCTTGACCTCTGACGCAAGCGCGCCCCCGATTCTCCCGGCACCGTCAACCGATCGAGCTTTGCGCGTCGCATTCCAGACTTCAATGTCCTATCCAGGCCAGTACGGCTACGGCGCCCGTAAGTTGCATTCCGCATCTCTGCGATCCTCTCATGCTTGTTATTTAGATCCTGACACCAATTCAGAGCCTCACGGCCAGGGCTACGGCCAGCAGTATCCGCCCCCTCAACAGGGAGGTTACGGCGGATCACCTTATCCTCCGCAAGGAGGACATTACCCTCCTCCTCAAGGTCCTCCGCCCGGCCAATATGGTGCACCTCCTCAACAGGGCGGCTACTACCAACAACCTCCTCCGGGCCAATACCCCCCGCAAGGCGGACACTACCCCCCGCCCCAGGGTCCTCCGCCAGGCCAGTATCCGCCTCAGGGCGGCGCATACGGCGCACCTCCCCCGATCCCTCCCTCGCCATATGGCGGACACTCTCCCGCGCCGGGTGGCTACGGGGCACCGCCACCCAACCAGTCGTATGGCGCTCCTCCGCCTCAGCACTACGGACCCCCGACGCCGGCGTCTTTGGGATACGGCGCTCCTCAGATCATCCAATGGGATGCGACTCCTGACGCGACGACAGCGCGCAACGCAATGAAGGGGTTTGGTACCGACGAGAAGACTCTCATCCGCTGTCTAGCAACCAAGGATCCTCTGCAGATCGATGCCATCAGAACAGCATTCAACAGGAATTTCAGGCGTGATCTCGAGCAGGATATTAAAAAGGAGACAAGTAGTTGGTTCCAGAAGGGCTTGGTGTCTATCGCCCGCGGCCCCCTCCGCTCCGATATCTACAACTTGTACGAGGCAATGGACGGGGTTGGCACAAAGGAGAGTGTTCTGAATGACATTCTCCTCAGCCGTTCAAACGCGGATCTGCAGGCCATCAAGAGCGCATACCAGCAAACATTCAAGAGGCGCCTGGAGGATGACGTAAAGGGCGACCTCAGCATGAAGACCGAGAGGCATTTCCTCATCGTTCTGGGTGCCAACAGGGCAGAAGACTCTGCACCCGTTGTGCCACAACAGGTCGACTCAGATGTCATGGAGTTGTACAAGGCTACCGAAGGCAAGGTCGGCACGGATGAGATGCTTGTTTGCAGCATCCTGAGCACCCGCAACGACAATCAGATCCGCGCCATCAACCAAGCCTACGAGCAGAAGTTTAGGAGGAAGCTTGAGGAAGTCATCAAGAAGGTAAGCCGGCCCAATTCGACGCGCACGTCATACCCGATACTAACTTACGCGATAGGAATTCTCTGGACACATGGAGGACGCCCTTCTTTTCCAGCTCCGCAACGCAGTCGACAAGTACATGCATGCCGCCAAGCTCCTGGAAGACTCAATGGCTGGGCTCGGCACCAAGGATCATCTGCTCGTAGCGCGCGTGGTGCGATACCACTGGGACAAGAACACCCTCGCCAACGTCAAGGGTGCGTACCAAGCTAGGTACAACCGCAGCTTGGCGAGCAGGATCCGGGGCGAGACGAGCGGCGATTACCAGAGGCTGATGTTGGCGTGTATTGGCGAGAACATTTGAGCAGCGACAACGCGGGCGCGGAGTGCGAAACCGAATGATACCCTGGGCTGGGAAGGACTTCTCATGAGATAATGGCCGGGAATGATGGATGGATGAATGAGTAAGCGCCTATAACGATGGAGCTCGCGAGGAGCAGAGGTAATTGGACGGGTGCTTGGCATGGTTATCAGTAGTTTACCGTAATGACAATCTGGACTCTGTTCTGGATTTGCAACACAACACCACCTAATTGTCAACATTGCGATGCTTTGCCGTTGTTCAAATGACCCAGTCTCGCTGCTCGTTACTGTGGCCGAAATAATACGAATCATGCGCTTCTTACACGTGGGTGACAAAATATGGAGAGAATTTATTGCGACTTATTAATAAATGGGCTAAAAATGTTACTTTTTCTGCAGTAATTGCTCCAATTTAACGGTTACTCCTGATCCAAATGCTCTGATTGGGTGCATCGAGTCCAAGCGTCTTATATGCACCTTGAGGCAGTCGCGAATGTGTGACAGATTCTTATGTCATTATAAAGCAAACGGAAAGCGCGGCCAATCAAACCGGAGCTAAGGGGTAAGAGCGGGTCTTTCCTGCCAAAAACGCTATAGCAAGTTATAGCACCTTCTCTAGCTATTACTTATAGCGCTCCCAGGCCCCCCTCCTTCTAAATAAGTCACGCTAATTAACTTTTTCTACTGTCTTAATTAAGACGTGGCCCCTCCTCCGCCCTAACTTTTCCTATTTTTTCCGCCCTTTACTTAACCAACCCGTGCTCCACTTACGTCTGCCCACTTGGTTGCGCAGAACGGCACTTTGAGGACGACGAGCATCACCCACGATCAAGATCGCGAACTCGAGATCGACGTCAAAGAACGCGTTTGACGAAAGATTGACGCGTCAACTCGTGGATAGTGAGCAGCTTCTTCTAAGCGCACTTTTGGACCGTTACTAACACTCAAAAAGGTTGCACCTGACCAAATTGGGTCCATGGACGACAATCTCATTCAACTTAGAGTCGTTCCTTCTTCAATCAGTGCACTTGGCTTCTTGAACAACATCTTTCATTTGACTTGGTCGTAGAGTCACTTTCCACAGATCAAGCAAGCGGCTGTTCAAAGATGGCATCACCAATGATGCAGCAGCCGCCTATGCCCAACGGCGGCGCATACGGCCATGGATCAATTCGCCAGTCCGCATCGCATTCTCCCGCTTTTCCTCCGCTATCGCAACCAGCTGCGGCTCCCAAGCAAACCCCGGTGCCTTTTCCTGTACCAGGTGCTGCTGCGAATGGAGTCAAGCCGCCTGTTGTTCCGGTTGTCACGTCTGATATTCAGCAAGAAACTCAGCCAGCGTCAGCTCAACATACGGGTAACGTGGACAAAAATAAGAGATTCCAGGACGACTATGCTCGGCTCTCCGCTGCGATTCAAGAATCAGACCCGGATGCAGTTAGACGTGCGATTAGGGACAACCACCCAAAGTGTCTCCTTGGCTCACATTATCACCTGGCTTTTCTTGTAAGTATCTGTCGCGGGGATCACCACGTTATGGGAAGGAAGCCGAGAGGCTCTTGACGAATCACGATTGACTGACCCTCTTACAGATGAACGTCACCATGCATCAAGCCGACGTGGGAATCTTCCAGAGAGCCGTCAGGGACTATGGCGCAAGGTTTCTGGAGGCTGGCAAGCATGAGCTTATCAATGCCATGACTACGGCTGACATTGATGAGTTGGCGGATAAGATTCTCGCCAAGGCCTCCGACACGTTCCTTGACAGAGCTCTCGTAGCTCGTCTGCCCACTATCCAGGCACGTCGACTTGTTAATGCCCTGGCGCGAGCGGAGAGGCTCGGATACGATGCTGCGGATATCGTCGAGAATGAACATGTCATCCCCTCCTTGCCTGGAAACGCTCCTGCGGCTCCGGCCCAACAACAACAGCACCTACAGCAACAGCAACAGCAGCACCAGCAGTTGCAACAACAACATCAAGTTGCCCTCGCGCGTACGAACTCCTTCAAGAGTGTCAACCAAAAGCCAGAGCTCCCTGTGCAACCCCTGGAGCCAGCGGATCCTGCCAACCCGCAATGCCTCTACTGTCACCGCACTTTCCCAGGGGTATCGGCCTACCAACATGTAAGTGCAGGTCTCATTTGCAACGTGGGCCAAGCTAACCGTCAGCAGCACGTCAAGAAGAAGATCTGTGTCAAGACGTCTCCGCTGTCAAGATCGACTAGTGAGGCGTACATGTGCCCTCACTGCGCGCAAAGATTCGGCGGCATGGCTGGTTTGCAATACCACATGATGAACAAGGTGTGTGGCGACTTTGGCGAAGTCATCAAGGACGATATTTCCTCGATTCCGAAGGCGTCTCTGCCGCAACCAGTTCTCAACCCGCCCGTCAAACGGCCAGCTCCGGATAGCGCCCCCATGTACGTCGCCTCCGGTAGCAACAGCCCGGCATACTCGAACACCCAGACACCTCGCGCTCCTTCCAGCTCTCAGGCGGTTGATCTCTCGAATGCTCCATTGGGCACCCCTCAGCACAAGGACATGGCCCATCTCACAGTACATCAAATTGAGGCGCTGAAGGCCGAGTTGCAATTAGCCGAAGAAGTGTTCAAGATGAAAATCGACGCTGCGCAGAAAGCCGGTGGTGACCCGGATGAACTGCAGAAGAAGCTGG